TTGTTCCTCTCTGTCAAAAGTGATCAGACAAAAGGAAGCAAAGGGAATCCAAACAAAATAGCCAGGTTATTGCTCAGTTATTCTAGATGAAGTACCCTGGTCTGCTCACTCACATAGATTTTCCAATCATCTTTTTAGTATCTTACTCTTAAATATGTATGCACAGCCCAGGATTGCCTCTCATTTAAGGAAAGCTTCCGGCATGAAAGACAGAGACCAATGTAGGGAGAAGAAGAAAACAACATCAACACCCAATTTATATTCTCAAAAAAGAAAAATAACAAAATGTAGAGGAAAAAGAAAAAAATATACAGAAAATTAAGAGTTCATGGAAATTAAAAATTTAATATAAGTGTTAGGAGATAAAATTGAGGAAAATCCCAGAAGATAGAGCTAAAAGACAAGAGATGTAAAAATGCGCAAGGAAAAAGAAAACAGAGTAAAGGAAAATTAGATAATCAGTCTAGGAAGACCAGTGTCTGAATAATAAGTATATAAGAAAGAGAATGCAAAGACATGGAAGGAAGATTATTGTAAGAAAAGTTCCCAGAACTGAAGGACATACATCTCTAAGTTTAAAAGACTCGACAGTTATCAGTTTATGCAGTTAAAAAAAAGAAAAGACCAACCCCAAGGCACAACATTGTAAAATTTCAGAACACATTAAGACAAGCTTCTGTGATTCCAGATGGGCATATATAGTTGACTATGAAGGATTATGGGTCAGATTGGTACTAGGCTTCTTAACACTGGAAGCCAGAAAACAATAAGGAAAGGCCTTCAAAATATTGACAGAACATGATTTCCTGCCCAGAACTCTGTACTGAGCCAAACTCAGTAGTAAGGGTAAATGAAGATTTTAAAAATACAATGCAAGGAATAAAAACATCGTGCCCCCTTTCTCAGAAAGCTGCTGGAGGAAATACCCCACAAAAAAAGAGAAAACCGAGAAAGAGGAAGTAGTGGGATAAGGAAACGGGATCCAGTATAAAAGAGAGACAAGGGAATTCCCGAGATAAGCTAAAGGGAAATTCCATGACCATAATTGTGCACCAGGCCTAGAGAGCCTACAGTCCAAATTGGAACACGGTGGAGGGCTACAGGAAAGAAATTAAAACTGATTTACCTGATATATTTGAATATATTGAGAAGAAAGTTAATACTTTTAGCTGTTTGCAGATGAATTAGCAGTAGGTACCTAGAAACCTAAGCAAATGGAAAAATGGTGTAATTATTAACTGTAAGGAAAGGAAAGTTATATAGAAAAGGAAGAGTAATCATGATGTACTTTTGACTCAGCTGTGAATATTATTTACAGCCATAGTAATAATGTAAGTACTGACAGTTGGTTCAACCAAAAATTATGATAGAAAGATGAGGGAGAAGAGATGTAACAGAACTAAACCATTGTATTTTATAATAGAAAGTCAGTAAAGTCCTCAAAGAAAAAATTAAACAGCTGCATAGACCTACTACATAGAATATAGAGAAAAAAATGCCAGAAGAACTAGCTAAAAAGACTTGAAAGTGGTTGCCTCAGGGATTTGAAAATTGTGGGGTATGTTAAAGGGGGAAGGAACTGCTGTTTTTCTTGTACAACTTTTTGGTTTTTTAAATTGTGTTCATGTCTGTCAGATTAAAAAATTAGTTTTAAGAGGTTGCTCCTTACAGAATGCTCTTGTGTTCAAAATATATACCGTTCTGAGGCATTCTAAATCCCCTAGGATTCTGAGAACTCTATCAATTGCGGACGTAGAGTCAGCAGAATGCTATGAAATTGCTGAGGAAGTAATGATTTCTAATAGTACTAGTAGTTGATGTAATCCTTACTTGTAAATATTCATTTTGTTGTAGTGCTAACAAATGGAGATTTTTAAACACCTTAAATAAATTCAGATTAAAATATATTTCATTTCAACATCTCAAATGTATTAGTGTTTAGTTTTCTTCAGTGTTGTCAACACTTTTCATTGTGAATTGACTGCTTTATGCTTCTTTGCAGCTTTTCTGTTGAAAGATGCTTCAGTGTTTCCCGCCCGCTTCTTTTATTTCATTTTAAAAAATACTGCATGCTTATCACAGTCCTTAAGAGTATGCAACAGCTGTTCCAATAATAGCAATAGATACCACCTGATTTTTCATTATACCTGATTATAGGTTGCAATGGTTAATTTGAATCCACACACATTCTTTTCTTATCTTAATCACCTGTTTTTAAAAGCCAAACTGTTGAAGCTTGAAATGGAGATTGAGTTACATAAATGGAGATTGAGTTAAATAAATTAATCTTCAAATAGGTTTTTCTGTTTTCCAGTTAAAAGGCATGTGGTTCGTGTCCTCTTAAAGTCAGCATACTATAGTGTGAAAGAAAGCACAGTAGGAGTAGAACCAGTTGCATGACATTCAACAAGTTTCTTCACCTAAGTCTTATTTTCCCACCTGAAAAGCGAGAACAGTACCTGCCTGATAATTATGACAATTGATGATGAATCCTGTAAAAAAACCAAAAACACCCAGTTACTCAGGAGACCGAGGCAGGATCACCTGAGCCTAGATGTTTGAACAGTCTGGGCAACATAGCAAGATCCTGTCTCTTAACAAACAAAACTAAAAAGCTTGGCTTGCTGATCGCAGCTACTATTTGAGTACCTACTATGTACCAAGTATTGTTATTGCTGCTGCTATGCTTTGTTTCAGAGAGAGAAAAAATATAATTGAGGGGCTCTCAAGTTTATTGTTGTGTCATAAGCTTTTTTTGGATCGTCAAACAAGAGATTATATGAGAAATGTCAACATTTTCTTCTACAAAAATAGGAAAATAATATATCTGCATTGCATCTAAATCTTTGTAGCTGTAGAATAAAGTCAAAAGCTGCCATCAATGCAGAGTTTACAGTAGTCACTGAGTTTTGCTGGTTTGTTTTTGATTTAGGATAATGGAGTTGAAATAGTTCTCTTTAAAATTTGTACCTTTTTTCCCTGTAAAATGCAGTACATTTGACCCATGCCAACTTAAATTTATTTTTAACCTCTAATCCTTGAAGTTTCATGTTATTTATTTAAAAGCAGTTTACTTATTAATAGTACATTTCTGTTTGAAGTCCCTGTTCCTTTTTAAATAATAAAAGTCTTTAAAAGTATTTTGTACTCTTTTGGTGAGTAGGGAGAAATTGATATCCTGCTGATATTATAGTTAGTAATTATTTACAATCTTTGATAACATCTAAAAAGAGAAACATTTCTAAGATTTGGGTAGCATTTGTTTTTAAGGTTTACATTATATCTTTGCATGCCTCTACAGAACATGAATTTGAGCGTTCATTTGGATAAGTTATCACTCTAGATGCTACCTCCCACCCTTTCTTCTGGTCTCCTTTTTTGTTTGTTCATTTGTTTGTTCATTCATTCATTCATTGTGCAGGCATTTGAAGAGTTTCCACTATAAGGCCCTAGTCTTAGAAGCTGAGGGTAATGTGGTTGTGTACCATGGAGAACCCTGGGTTGGTTATAGAATCACTTGTGTAAACAGAAAATTACAGTAAAGCAAGATAAATGCTAAAATACAGATACGAAAAGTGGCCAGTAAAAATACAGTAAAAATCATCCTACCAGGTCTAATGGGCAAAGGCTAACAAAAGCTGAACCTTGAGGAAAGAGTTTTCCAAGCCAGAGAAGTAGAGGAAGGACTTGTATTTCTTTGATTAACCAGCTGTGTTGCTTATAAAGCTCTTTATATACTTTTCTCCTCAGTATTTTATTTTTTGCTTAATAGTTTTGCCACTTGCAAAGAATTGGCTGCTGTCATCATCGTGAGTGGTGGTGAGTTAGGGAAGGCAGCATAGCTTTTGTGTATTTGGTATGAGGTGAAGGAATCAGTTGGGGAAATAGAGAGCAAATGGTAAGCTTACATGTGTCTTTTTATCCTAATACTCCCTGTCAGTGGTGATGCAGTCTTTTAGGATTCTGCTAATAGCTGTGTGATCTTGGGTAAGTGATTTCTTCTCTTTGGATTCCATTTTCCACCACTTTAAAATGGGAGGATTGGTATTAGATGGGCATTTCCTATTAGTAGGTGGGGAAAAAGGAGAAACAGTGACCAAATAAGTTTGTGAACATAGGTAAACAAAGTTAAATAGATTTCTTTACTGCAGCCTCATACATTATGGCATATGAATTGGATTGCTGGACTTCTAACTTGGCCATGCAAGTTAAGTGAGAGTCAGTAATATGAGTCCAGCTCTGTCTTTTTCCTAATGGTTTAGTGGAAAGAGCATGGGCTTTAGAATCAGACATATCTGGGTTTGAATCCTGAGTACTCCTTAGTAGCTTTATGGCTTTATAAATTATCTAACCTTTCTAAACTTGTCTCCTCATGTGTAAATCAGGCAGGATAATGCCCTGGGGAGTTGTAAAGATTATGACATTCCATATGAAAATATCACATCGAGTATCTGATATATAATTGGTCACAAAAGGTATAACTTAAGTCTACAAATTCCAGAGTTAGTATAGAATGTAACACTTGATAATAGCTATTGATATCCTGGCTACATCTGGTGTTTGAGGTGGACTGTTTGTTGTTTCATATATACTTATAATTTTCCCCAAGAAAACAAAATATTCTTGAGGGCACATCATTATGTTTTACCGTCTACATAGCATTCGACGTTCTCCTGGAGACTCAATAAGTGCTTGATAAATACCTGACAGTTTCATCAAAACAGTGGAATAAAGTGAGGTGTGGTTTTCCCTGGTGTATAGTTTATCCTATATCTCTTATAACCAAGGGTAGAAGTCAATTTATGAATAATAATTTTAAATTTCTTTAGTTATTTATGTTAAATGATTAAATTTGAAGTTTGAAATAATTAGGATTATAAGTGAACTGGCATTTATTTACTTAAGTAAACCATAGGAAGGGGGTTATAATAAAGTGTCATTTAATAGTGTAAATTATATTATTGGAATACTAATGTTTTACATTTTGTTTTTTCTCTAAGCAAATGGTTATGAGCCTTAGAGTTTCTGAACTCCAAGTACTGTTGGGCTACGCTGGGAGGAACAAGCACGGACGCAAACACGAACTTCTCACAAAAGCCCTGCATTTGCTAAAGGCTGGCTGTAGTCCTGCTGTACAAATGAAAATTAAGGAACTCTATAGGCGGCGGTTCCCGCAGAAAATCATGACGCCTGCAGACTTGTCCATCCCCAACGTACATTCAAGTCCTATGCCAGCAACTTTGTCTCCATCTACCATTCCACAGCTCACTTACGATGGTCACCCTGCATCATCGCCATTACTCCCTGTTTCTCTTCTGGGACCTAAACATGAACTGGAACTCCCACATCTTACATCAGCTCTTCACCCAGTCCATCCGGATATAAAACTTCAAAAATTACCATTTTATGATTTACTGGATGAACTGATAAAACCCACCAGTCTAGGTAAGATTATTGTATGATGGTATTTGGTTACTTTTGCAGGATGAATTTTCATTTTAGACTTTTACTTTGACCCAGTTTATTATTCATAATGAAATTTTCATTTGATAGTAACAGCTGGATAATAATGAAGATCTTTCAAATTTAGATAAAATCAAATGTATAAAAGCTATCTTTCAGAGGAAAAAAGGTAGTATATTGATGGTTACTGACACAGTAAATATTAAAAAGTTTCAAGAATATAAACTTCCAAAGAGGAGTCTTTTAGAAGATTGATTAATATTTTACAATATCTCTTATAAATTAGAAAATTAAAAGCGAGTAAGTCACTACAAGTCTCTGATTAGTTCTTAATTTTCAGGGATTGATGATCTCTAAAACAAGTCACTTACTAGTTTTGATTATTTAAATGAGTGAATGGTTTTAATGATTGTAAAAGGAGACTTGAGCTTTGATGTGTGTGGTAGTTAAATTTCAGCTGATTTTTTTCAAGTGGAGAAGTGCATGCTTTATAAGCATTCACATGCACACTCTTGATTACAGTTATATAATATAAATGCTTGAAATTTATTTTGCTGTGTTACATCATTTGATTTGTAGTCTAGCATATAGAATTCAATATATTAACTTGTAATTTTAATTGGTATAATGCTACCTTATTTACTTAATGTAGAATAAAACTCAACTGTTGTGACCTCTGATGCCTTTGGTGTAATATATTTAAAATATCAGACTTCTAAATGCTGGTTTGTTGGCATACTATGGCTGGCAAGCTAAATCCAGTCTGTGACCTGTTTTTGTGTGATTCTGAGCTAAGAAATCTGAAAAATATTCCTAAAGAGTTATTAAAAAAGAAAGAAAGAAAGAAAGAAAAACAAAGAATATGTACAGAGACCATCTGTGCCCGCAAAGCGCAAAATATTTACCCGTATAGTGAAAGCTTGTGAATCCCTGTTACAAATCATTGAATGTTTCAGTTTGGGGGATTGGCAAGTGTTGAGAACATTTTTTGCGAATTTTTGAGAACATTTTGAAAATGTTTTACTGAAATTCTATCTTTGAAATATGAGGTGTTTGTTCTTAATTATATGTAGCAGAATTTACCTGAATACATGAAGATTATAGGAATCTTTTGAAACAACATGAGTTTTGTATCACATTATTTCATTTTTTAAGTGGCCATAATAAGAAAACATTTTTTGAGAATCTACTGTATGCTTATAAAACTGATACATGCTCATTGTAAAAAATGGAATTGCCAAAGTCCCTTCTTTGTTAGCTGTTTAGTGTGTATGCATATATAGTACAAGCAAGTTGTTTCTTGTTTTTTACAGAAGGAATCATATACATAGTATTGTTTAACTTCCCTTTTTTCCCCTTAATAATATATCATAAGCATCTTTTCTTGTCTGTCTGAGATATATATATATATCTCCCATTTTAAATTAAAGGCCATATCTGAATCTATCTATATCTCTATATATGGTCTGTATGTGTACATATATGTATGTGTACATATGTGTTATGTATTGATCAGTTGATGAAAATGTTGTGACCAGGGGCTTGCAGGAACCTAACCTTGTACTTCCCCTAGTAGCAGCAATTATATATTCACAAATTCAGTGTTTGTGGTGATTTTATAGAATATAACTGTCACAAATAACAATAATTGACGGATAATTTGATTTGAATGCCAGTTTCCATGAATAAATCTGCTGTTTGTGGTATGTATTCACAGAAAGTCACCAAATGAATAGGTGGTGTAGAATTGCTTAGTGATATGTAAATAGATTTTCAGTATCTCATTGTTATAGAATTAAAAACAAACCAATTTGAATATGCATAAAAAGATCTCACCAGAAAGTAATCTGTGGAAGTTTATTGGCTCAATAAATATTTGTTGCAGGGGAATGCTTAGTGAATGTGAAAACTATTTATTGAAAAAAGATTTTATGTAATTAGTCTTCAGGGTTTATTTAGAATGAGTATATTTTAAGGCTCTGTTTTTATAGATTCTTTAACATTATTAAGACTTTTTCTGTACTTCAGTAAATGAAGTGGCTACATTTGTCACAGAACTTAGTTTCCTAAATGATTATTTTTGCCAGTGCTTCATTTGTTTTAAATCTTTTAGAAAACCATGGTTTCTGAAAAATTTAATAGCTTCCAGCATTCTCTTTCTTTCTAAACATACATACATTTAAAATCAAGTTTTTAAAAACATAGTTTCGAACACCAGCTGGCTAGTTGATCACAGCTATCACTGAGTCCAGAATGGGACAGGCACATTTAGTTTTTCATTTTTTCCCTTCTGTTGTGGTCTTAAGCACCAGATTTAAAGAAATTTTAAGATGGTTCAAATGTAAACTGAATGTTTTCATGCATGGTTTGTATTTCTAACTAAAATGGAAACAGTAGTTCTGATAATTCCCATTTTTTTAGATAATTCTCATTCATTCTTACAATCATTTTGTTATTTCTTTAAATCAATTTAAAATAATTCTAAGGCCTTTATTTTGGAGCCATAATTAAAGTATTCTTTTCATTGTCCATAATTAACTGTAAGAATTGAGAGGTGAAGTAAAAGGTTGTTGTAAAGTAAGATATTTAATTTATTGTTTACTTTTGCCTGTCATTATCTCAATTCTGTTTTTTTCTATGAGGCTTATTTCAGATGCTCTTTTTCTTTAACCTTTTTCATTTATCTTTCTAGGCTTTCCTCCTTTCATCTGTATATTTCTTCCACAGCCAGAATCAATTTCACTTTCTCCACATGCTTTCATAACATTTATTTTTTATTTTTATTTTTAATTTTTTGAAACAGAGCCCCACTCTGTAGCCCAGGCTGGAGTGCAGTGGCACAATCTGGGCTCACTGCAACCTCCGCCCCACTGGGTTCAAGCGATTCTCATGCCTCATCCTCCCATGTGGCTGGGACGTACAGGCACGTGCTACCATGCCCAGCTAATTTTTTATTTTTAGTAGAGATAGGGTTTCACCATGCTGGCCAGCCTGGTCTTGAACTCCTTAGTTGATCCGCCCACCTCTGCCTCCCAAAGTTCTAGGATTACAGGTGTGAGCCACTGCTCCCGGCCTCATAACATTTATTTTTAAAATTTTATTTTATTTTATTTTATTATTTGAGACAGGGTCTTGCTCTGTTGCCCAGGCTGGAGCGCAGTGGTGCAATCTCAGCTCACTGCAACCTCTGTCTTTCGGGCTGAAACAATTCTCCCACCTCAGCCTCCCCGGTAGCTGAGACTACAGACGTGTGCCACTATAACTGGCTAATTTTAGTATATTTAGTAGAGACAGGGTCTCATCGTGTCGCCCAGGCTGGTCTTGAACTCCTACACTCAAGTGATCTTCTCACCTTGGCCTCATTCTCACCACACCCAACTTGAATATTTTATTATCATTATTTATTTATTTGTTTGTTTGTTTGTTTATTTTTTGAGACAGGATCTCGCTCTGTCACCCAGGCTAGAATGCGGTGGTGAGATCTTGGTTTGCTGTGGCCTTAACCTCCCAGGCTCATGCAGTTTTCCCACCTTAGCCTCCCAAGTAGTTGAGACCACAGGTGTGTGCCACCACACCTGGCTAATTTTTGTTTTTATTTTTTGTAGAGATGAGGTCTCATCATGTTGCCCAGTCTGTCATAACACTTAATTTACCTCTTATTAAGTGTTTTTGTTTTGTTAAAAATGATAAGGCTTCTGAGGCATTTATCTATAAATCCCCATAATAGCTAGATATGAACCTGTTACATGGTTGTTGTTCAGTAAACATTTATTAGCTCTTCAACTAGTTTTAATGCAATAGATGGAATCTTTTATTTCATTTTAATTCAGTGGATTTTAACCATTTTACCTTGCAAACACAGCTGAGCCATACCACACTGTCTCATTACAAACAGTGGCTATGATAGGGATGGGAAATAGAGTAGGGAAAAATGGTATTCTTCCTCTTATTGCCCTATCCTGTCATCTGTTAGGTTAATTGATGTCTTTGAAATTTAATATACTTAATTAAAATTTTTTTCCGCTAATTACAAAAATGTCGTGTTTGATGTAGAATCCACAGAAATTATGTGCTTACTTTACAGATAAACTTTAAGAATACTTCTGTGGTGTTCCATTTGTTAGTCATTTATGGGTGTGTGTGTGTTTGTGTGTTTGTGTGTGTGTGTGTGTGTGTGTATTTCTGGATTCATTTTGAAGGAGAGGAGACCCTCACTAGCTTATTTAACCCGGCAGCTGCATATATTATGGATCCATATAAATAATGGAAGAAAATTTTAATTTTGATAGTATGTTGAGCACCTGTGTTAAGGGGTACTTTGTTTGAAATACCTTATTGCTTAGTGTGCCAATATTGGTGTTGATGAGCTATGAAATGTACATAATTATGAAAATAAAAAGGAAAAATAATTTTGGATTAAAATATCTTGTCCATTCAGGGACAAGATAATTATTTGATATTTCCTCTCAATCTTTTAATAATACCTATATCATTCAAAATAGTTTATAATATTGTTTATAGCTATTGTTTAAATTGGCTTTGTTAGAACATAATGGCAAAAACAGAATACTTTCATGGTGAACAAAATACTAGTTCTTTAGGATACAGTATTTGATTTGAATCAGACTTAAGTATAAACAAATCTATTAATAGATTTATATTTGTTACTCGTTTAGCTATTTATATCTTCCTTGACTCAGGTAAATTTTCAAATAGAAAATACATTTTTAACATAGTGCTTTTAAATATTTTTAATATTTTTACTTATTTCAAAGGCCAACATGTATAGAACAGACAGCTTTGCGTTCATTTGGTCTACAGATACTCCTGTGGTTATGTCCTAGTAAATCCATCATAAATTGAAAGTATCCTAAGACAGAAATGCACTTAATACACTTAACCTACCAAACATGATGGGTTAGCTTAACTTACCTTAAATGTGCCTGAAACACTTACATTAGCTGACATAACATCTAACACAA